ACAAGATGAATAACAGGAGTGGAAAGAGACGGAACGCCAGCGTCCGCGGGACAAGTGCGAGAAATCTCAGCATGGTAACGATGAAAGTACGAGGCTTTAGATTGTTGTGCTAGCTGGCAAAGCAAATAATGTCAATGTCCTCATTGTTCATACTTATATAGGCCATTCAACTGAGAAATGATTAACCTGACGAAAGGTCTACACGACATCAGCCTTCATGAATCAACGTAGTATTTCCCCTCCAGATCAGATTGAGCCCCAGCATATCAAGAGGACGGTCTAAAACCAATGACTGGTCGTCCTTGTTCACAACAACTAGAGGGATGCCGATCTGTCTCATAGCGATCAGGCGCCCAAATGTGCCCATGACCAAGTAATACCATGTTGAAGCCTCCGCACGCGTGGGACAATATTACTTCGATCTTCATTATGCGGAGTCACCGCCTAGCTAGGTGCAGATGTTGGAACGAGCTCAAGCTACGAAGAGGTTGCAAAGATGCGGGGAAGTGATGGAAGAGGGAATGATATACCAGGAGAGGGAGGATGCGGGGACGAGATATACAGAATAGCAAGACAAAGGCAGTAGACCCTGGTTACTACGATTCTCAGGGAGCTCTGACTACTTGGTGTTAGGACCATTTGGGGCAGGTGATAATACTGAACTTCATCACCCTTTCGGGCTGCTCGACATGGTCACCATAAGTTAGGAAGAGCCCCGTCGGTGTCGTCATCTGTTGAATGCAGCATGAGCATGACTCGTACATGCTTGAAGTTGGTGCGGGGCCCTATGTTTAGCTGCCACGCTAGCTAGTAGCGAGGTGCAGTAGTTGATGCCCCCGCGCATTCTGGAAAGCCGCTAGAAACTGCGGAATTATGTACAAGGCCATACCTGGCAGATTCACATGTCAGTGCACGCCTACTGTCACTAAATACACTATCCCAGCTAACATGGGATCATCAAGAAGGGAAGAGGAGATCACAACGTCGTGATCTCTCTTCCCAACTCCACATCTATTACTCGTAAATGCCTCATATGAGTCTTGTTAACTGCAGGGGCCTTGCGCCAACACATCAGAAGCGAGGTTACTGACTCAACCAATAAGACCAAAGTAATCATGTCATATATCGAAGCCACACAAATCGAAGTGACATGGAATGAGCTTTGGTTGAGCGGCCGCAACCCTTCTAATCTGGGAACGGAAGGTAGAATACGGTACTTAGAGTCCGCATTGTCCACATATTTCGCCCGACTATTGAGTTACCTAGACTTATTACCGAAGCTATCTTCAGAGGCCCCAGGGTCTCTGGATATCTGCCAGTCCAATTTCAAGCAAGGTGCCATTCCACCTGGACATCTAGGCACGCAGCTACATCTATACTTAGTTCAGAGTTTAATCGCGCATAGTCCGAACCCATGAAAGCGTCACCAATGATTATCGATCAGGAATGCTTCAATCCCTGCTTCGATACGGCCAGGCCGAAACAACTGACAGACAACACCAAGTCTTTCACATCCCAAGTTGAGACCAGACATCAGTGTGATCCACTACTTCCATCTCCCAAGACGAGATCATAGATGTATAAATCCTGCATGATTTCTCTACTATTCCACTGCACAAACATCAACTCAACACAGTCAGTCAAAGATGCAACTTCAACTCTCCCTTCTTCTCCCTTGCTTTCTGGCAATCGCCAGTGCAACATCTTACACCGAGGACTATCGTCCTCAGTATCACTTCACCCCAGCCAAGAACTGGATGAATGACCCAAATGGCCTAATCTATCATAAGGGGAAATATCATATGTACTTTCAGTACAACCCCACAGGCGATGTCTGGGGAAATATTTCCTGGGGACATGCAGTCAGCGACGATCTGATGCGCTGGAAAGAGTTGCCTGTCGCTCTCAATGCCTTCGACTCTCCAGCAGGATCGTTGAATGAACTGTACTACTCCGGAAGTGCTGTCTCTGACGACGCTTTGACTTCAGGTCTTGGACATAGAAAGAGACCTCCTCTAGTGGCAGTCTATACATCGCATTATACGTCAGATATGACCCTGCCAAGCAATAAGACCGTCCGGGCCGGCCAGGAATCTCAGTCGATCGCCTTCAGTACAGACAACGGCCTGTCTTGGACAGAGTATCCTGACAACCCAGTCATCCTAGAGCCTCCCAGCCAATATGCCGACCAATATCTCAACTTCCGCGATCCATTCGTCTTCTGGTACGCACCAAGCAAGCACTGGGTCATGACCGTTTCACTGCCCAACCTTCACAAACTGCTTATCTACACCTCCAAAAACCTGACGGCCTGGGAACATGTCAGTGAATTTGGCCCCGTCAATGCAGTTGGTGGTCAGTGGGAGTGTCCCAGCTTGTTTCAGCTTCCTGTGGATGGTAAAAAGTCCAGAACTAAGTGGGTGATGGTCATCGGACTCAATCCTGGCGGGCCCGCGCATGCTGGCGGATCAGGAACCCAGTATGTGGTTGGCACTTTTGATGGAACAACATTCACAGCAGATGCCAATAATGTTTACGATGCGTCTGCTCCAGAAGACAGTGTCGTATATGAAGATTGGAATGAAACCAGCTTCGCCGAATCAAGCTGGAAAGCAACCGGTGATTTCGTCCAACAACAGCCTAGCAACGGCCAGGTACTCACGTTATGGGACAAGGGTGACAAATCTGTTGGATCTCTCACCTCCAAGAAGTTTACTGTCTCCAAGAATTACATTGCCTTCAAGATCGGCTGTTGCAACAATCCGTACAATCCAGAGACGTACGGTACCTCAGCCGATCAAGAGACTGCCATCAACCTGATTGTGGACGGACAGGTAGTACGATCAACCACTGGTGTCAACGGAGGCGATGTCATATGGGCGAGCTGGAACGTCGCCAACCTCATTGGCAAGACTGCATACATCGAAATCGTTGATCGCGCCACAGGAGGCTGGGGCCATCTTGACGTAGGCGAAATAGTCTTCACAGACAAACCACTCCCGCCACAAGCTAACTGGGTGGACTACGGTCCTGATTACTATGCTGCTGCCACCTACAATGGACTCTCTGATTACGAGCGCGTGGCCGTGGCCTGGATGAACGATTGGGCCTACGCAGTGGACATTCCCACGTCCCCATGGCGAAGCGCGATGAGCATTCCTCGGGTCTTGACACTTGAAACCGTTGACGGCAGGGCACGCCTAATACAGAAGCCACACCCTAACCTGCAAACCTTGGAGAGCAAAAGAATGCTGTATAAGAATCAGTGGCGTTCAACTCGCTCGGGCAATTTGACTCTCCCAGTGTCTGGAAAGGCCTTGGACATAACCTTGACTTTTGCTGCTGGCAAAGAGTCCAAGATGCTGGGCCTCAACGTGCGAACGGACGGCAAGACGTACGGCACTGCTATCGGCTATGACTTCGATACCAATCAGATGTTCGTTAATCGCGAATCATCTGGTGATTCTTCTTTCAGCACTTCATTCTCGGGCGTATATTACGCTCCGCTGCCTGTCAAGGACGGAAAGGTCAAACTACGCATTCTGCTAGATTGGTCATCGGTCGAGGTGTTTGGCGGGCGTGGCGAAGAGGCGATAACAGCACAAATCTTTCCTCCGGACTCCAGCACGGGGGTATCGCTATTTTCTGTGGGCGTTGTGAAGGACGTGAAGATAGAGGTGCACTCGGTATCTTCGGCGTGGAGAGGATCGTATTAGTAGTAAGCTTGTAGAGGGTATAGGCAATGGGAGAAAGAAAGAAGAAACATGACACGTAACTCCTTCTATAGCTATCAATACTAGACAATACGAGATGGCACTTTATATTTATATATAAATCATCTTGAATATACTTTTATAGGCACCTGTAACATTGCCAATACTCCACACTTCACACTATGCTAATATAATACTATATAGCAAAGCCTGACAAAAGCAAAGGAAAACCAAGGGTGAATTATGTTATGTAGGACTTATATCCATTGTTCATCTACGTTGATCCACTGGCCTGAGACCCTTTTGCTTTTTGACTTTAAATCAGAAGATGCTATCACAATGTTTATTTTTCTACTAATTCACGGAGCGATATCTTTACCATGCTGTTTATATTTATGGATATACTGAGCTAAGATAGATACTAAGATATTGCGATGAAACTATGCGTAAAAGGGTTGAGGATCTGAAAGAGCCCTCCGCCTAAGTAAATGTGTCAAGAAGTCGAATTGTAAATTGGTAAGTACGCAGAGTCTGAAGGCAGTTTATGTTTCAATCCATACAGGGATGGCCATTAGGGTCGCTTACACAAGCCAATGAAGGCTAACGTCTCTTGACTTTACTCACTCCAGTTCAGTTAGCTAGTCTTTGTAACGAGACCTACTCCATCTATAAACATCTAGTATTACTAAGATACCGCAATGAAACCATGAGGAATCGTCTCACTATATCTAGCCAGTGTCTCGGTACTGGCAACTTGATGAAAGCCGTCTTATGTTGGGACTCTAGGGGCCTGTTTGAGGTTGACAAACCTGCCGTCAAGACATGATACGATGATTGCTAAAACGTATGAGTTAAGCCCACAAGGCTTAGATACCCAGTAGGCAAGCACTATTATCGATCAGCCGCGATGGGGTATACCTGATCAAGCTTGCATTTTAGGTAGTAGCTCATGTATATACTAACAATCAATGTCTCAACGACATCAGCATTTTTATTGGTTATCGGAGCAACGCTTTTGTGCACTCATGGCACATTACGGTAAACCAATAAAGTGAGACATCCTTAGCGAAACATATCATTCATCAGACTCCGCACCAAACCCCACACTTTCATCTTTCAACCCAAGATTTAGGCCCAACCTTATCTTTGCACAACATGTCCCAAAACGCTGTTACTCTTTGCCGCAGATGCAAAGCTTTGCAAATCGACGACCTGGCCTTGGGTGGACGAGGAGCAGAAACTGACAATGGATATCCCGTTCTCAGTCTTCCATTTGACGAGCCAGACATGGAGAGCCATGGAAATATCCCAGTCTTCTCGGTAAATGACCAGTACCCAGAGCTCCCAAAGCTGCAAGCAGGGGCCTCCTTTGGATGCGGCTTCTGTCATCTGTTGAGAGGTTCAATACAAGAGTTTTACAGCTTGGAAATCGGGGCGTCGATTGAAATCAACGTCAAATATCGCTGGAGCCTGAATATGAGTAATCGACTTGGCCTCACCGGCATAATCGCATATCTCAGATTCCGGAACTCGGACCCCATCCTTGACGAATTGCGACCATTGAGGTTTGCAATCGATGGAAACTCAGGTATTTTTTTCAGCTTCATTCCTAGCAAACTCTTAGATACTGGTCTGACAGCGGATCCATGCAGACAAATGCGCTGAGTGGTTGAACATGAAACCACCATTAATACAATATGCATTGCATGCGGCAAACATTAATATGATTCAACAAGAAATAGCCCATTGCGAGGACACTCACGATCACAATGTGAATAATGTTAGCGGCTTTCTACCAACCCGTCTCATTGCCGTCGGTACTGATAAGGGTGTTCAACCTCACTTGGTGATTACCGACTACCGGCTACGACGGAGAGCACCGAGATACGCTACTCTAAGCTATTGTTGGGGTCCGCCTGATGACGCAAAGGCGCAGTCAAGGACTCGAGCTCATAACATCGAACAACGAAAGGCCGGATTTCCATTAGACTCATTGACCCATGTCATACGTGATGCGATAGTTGTAGCGAGGACTCTATCGATTCCTTATCCCTGGGTGGATTCTCTCTGCATCATCCAAGGTGACAGACTGGATTGGGAACGGGAATCATCGACTATTAAAGATGTCTACCGATACGCTTACCTTACGATATGCGCAGCTTCGTCGCCATCCTGCCAAGTGGGCTTCATTCACCGCGTGCCGAAGTCAATCACAGTACTATTTGCATCGAAGGTCAATCCCACGATCCAGGGAACGTTCAACATTCGGCTGAGCGGACTTGCCAATCCAACTTTTTATATGGAAAAAGGGATAGACAAAACCTTTGATGAGCTGATTAGTATAGAGACAAGATGGAGCCAGAGAGCGTGGACCTTTCAAGAAGCCATGCTGTCCGTGCGAAAGCTGACGTTTTGCGGCTCGCAACTGTACTACTCGTGCCCTGACCGAGTCACATGCGAAGCTGGAAGTCCAGAGGGTCCGGGTCACCTAGAAACTGGCCTAACGCATTTCCCGTCTGATGCCAGAGACAGATTCCAGAGCTGGTACGACATAGTCACCAAGTATGCAGCCCTCGACTTGTGTTACGAAACTGATAGATTGCCTGCCATTTCCGGTATAGCGAGAATGATGGGTTACGGCCCTGAGGACTATCTAGCGGGCATCTTCAAACAGTTTCTTGCTTTTGGATTATGCTGGAGGCAATCTTCAATTAGCTCCATGCAAACCACTAGAAGTGCAGTTATAAACCTGCATAAAACCAGTACCATGCCATCTTGGAGTTGGGCCGCGCGAAAGCAAGCAATCGACATGATGGCAAGCCCTTTGGATGATAGAGATGAAACAGCAGGTATAACTGCCTGGACAGTGCCGAAGGGATTGGACCTTTTTGGTGAGGTCAGGGACAGCGTGGCAGTCGTACAAGGGAAACTCTTGCCTCTGCCCTCGAATATTATCCGTGGCTCAAGCTCCCCTGCAAGACTCCATGCCCCTTTTGAGGGCTCCCAGTGCGATTACTGGAACGTATCCAGAAAAGATCAAAGAATTGCATGGGTCCTTCTAGACTGGCATATGACTGGGATTGAGGAGAGTGGTGACGAGTTGTTCATGTTATTACTCACAAGCAGTCTAAGCCTGTCTGGGGGTTCACGCCGAGAAAGACGTGGGTATGGCATTGTTTTGCATCCTAGTCAGACACCCACTAAGTATATCCGAGTTGGCGGCTTTCAAACGACGAGTAAGGGATTTGCACTTTTTAAGGGGGCGAGCATTGAGACGGTACAGATAGTTCTAACTACCAATCCGGGGACTCAATATATTGCGATCTCCTATCCGGACGAATGGCCTACGACCTGTACTTGTGTCTATTATGATATTCATCCTTAGTCAATATGGTACTCAGGGGCAGACATTGTCAACGTCATGCACATATGACCGTTGCTGCTGGTCCTTACAGTATATCAGAAGTTGTTGCTTAAGAAGAGAGTCCCCGAGGATGGCGAGTAAGAAGCGAGAAGTACCAAGAGGGAGTGCTAAAAGAGTGTTCTATACTGTCTGAAGATGCTTGTGCCTAGAATGTAAAGCATTGTAAATACATGATCTTCTCTTTGAGACGGAGAATAAGGTCAGAGTTGTTGAAGGTGCAACGTGCTAAGATCTTAGTACTGAGAGGACTTGAAAGTAATAGACGCGCGGCACCACAAAGTTTCGAATAATTGATTCTAATCCAATATCAGATTCTTGCCTAAACAATGTATCCGCCTAAGTTTTATATAGATACATACTATTATATATCACCTGACACATAAGCTAACCTAAAAGGATGTTAACGGAATATCTCTTGGCAATGGCTGCCTAATTGCGGATGACATTTTCCTCGTTGGTGGATCCACTGATGGGGAAAAGAGACCGTCAGCCTACAACATTTCCTAACCTTGATCCTCAAACGAATATTTGTGCATTCCCTCAGTAATACCTAAAATGCCCTCTCCTATGCTCTTGAGTCTACCAACTGAGCTTGTCACCCGCATCATCGACCTTGCTGACCCATCCACTCATTTAAACTTGGCCTGCGTATGCAGTCATCTTTTCAAATGCGCGAAGAGGATTCTTACCCATCATCGAGAAGCCCATCGGAAATTCTCTGTTATCTCAGACCTTGACCCCTCGAGCATCCCTACCCTTCTTCGTAGCGCCTCTGGTATCGCCAGCCCCATCGACGCCTGGCATGTCAAACATATTGAGCTCTGGGGCTCGAGGTGGGACTGGGCTGAATGGAGACCTTGGTCTTTATCCGAAACAGCTGAGCAGGCTGGAGTCCCAAGGCAAAGGCGACGGCATGTGTTTTCTAAAGTACCACGCTTGGAGTGGGTGATTCCTCGATGGGAGCTGGCTCACTACTTGAAGATTATGCAGGAGGAACTAGGCTTGCCAGAGGACCTGGTGGACTGGGCACGCGTCGAATTTGAGCGAGGCTGCGATAGCGTCATGCAGATGCTGCTTATTGTTTTATGCCCTCGGCTAGAAAGCCTAAAGCTTCTGTACAACCGACACGACAAGGTCGAAAGGTAAGCAATGACTCTGTCATGAGATCAAGTCCGCGTCTCACATACCACAGCCGCCGGTGTCTTCACTGGCTCACGTTTGTTATAGGGAAGAGCTGGATTCATAGCGCGTGGCCTCCAGGCCTTCAAAGCCTCCGAGATGTTGCTGTAGGCCTAACATCAAAGACTTGTCTTGATGACGACGTTGTATATGTCTGGTACTCTCGCAGCTCTTTCAGAGGTCTGATGAAACTTCCAAACCTCAGATCCTTGTATTTTCGAGGGCTACGGGCACAAGATCACCCCGAGATTGACGGAGAGGGCGATCTTTCTGCGAACAGGCATCTTCGAAACGATGGAGCACTCGAATCTTCAATCACGATCAGTCTTCGAGACGCAGCTGATGAACTGCCGGCTCGATGCTCCACGGTCGAGAATCTGTATCTCAAAGACACTGGCGACTACGAAAATACTGCGGAGCTAGCCGCAGCGCCGAAAGCTCTTAAGTCATACACTATTCATTGGTGGCAGCATCAGGTTCGGCCAAATCAGCGACTGTGACATACAATTAGAGTTCATGGTCCAAGAACAACACGAGTCGCTCGAAAGCATCATGATCTACGAAGCTGCCGAACTTCAAGGATATCGTTGTACACTTTATCGACTTGGTGATGAGATTCCAGTACACGAATGCATAAAGCTGCGCCAAATTCACGTCGAGATAAATGATCTCCTGACATTTGCTTACTACGACTTTCCTTGGGGTGACCAGCAGGGGGAATTTCGGGAGTTGGCAGAAGTCTAGAAAGATGTCAGTAAGCACCAAGACTGCGCTGAGTTGATAGCAGGTTTGTTCCCTCCTTCCCTCGAGGTTCTTGTGTTAGGAAATTCCGAGGAGATTACCTCATTGGAAATGGAGGAGGATGTTTTAATACGCATAATACTCTCGAACAAGCTTCCATCGCTGAAGGCCATCTTTCCTGAGGTTTCAGATGATGAGAACAACACCCCTCCACTTACGAAATTATATGAGGTTAGCTGGCGAAACGGCGTCGATATCCGTGTCAAGACGAATCCGCAGGTACCTCGACATCAGATTCAGTTGCCCATGGCGCCTCAAGCTCTCAGCCATCAATCACGCAAGGATGATCAAGAGTCTGAGTTCGATCCGTTCAGAGGTTGTTGGATAGAGGCCCCACAGGATACTCAGGTTAGTGAACAGGTTGGTGACGTGTCTATCGACGATGTATTTGAGGCTTTAGACGAGGGTGTTGAAACGGATGATGACTATCCTGACCTACATCGTCAGTACTATGGTTAGGAATGACGATTTTCATTTTGCGTGTAGTAACCAATAAAGTACACATGATGTTTCAATTCCAAGCCTTGACGCCAGACACAAGCAATTACGACATTAGATTCTCTATGCTGATTTGAACTTTCAGCCGTACGTCTCATCTACAAACAACACATCTAGCTCACAACCAAGGTATCATACCACAATTTGTAGAAAAGGGAGTATAAATCACGAAAGAAATAAGAGATGCGACTCGTACAAGAGTATTGAGGGGAGATATGATTCGCATGCAAGAACACTAAATGGTCTATATAATCTACCCCTACGCATCCACTGAAACAACATCTCTCTATGCTGACTAGAATAGAATTTTAGTTGCTAGTCGTCATGTATTCGGCCAAATTGTTGGCAGCCATGAAATCCTCCCACTTCATAAGATCAAGGCCAGGAAGCTAGATAGAACATCAGAAAGACAAGTCCTCAGAGGCATAGCCCTTAGAGTAGCTTACCTCATTAGCCTGCATGAACTCAGGACGAGCATAAATCATGCCAAAGTCTCGAAAGATTAGCAGTTGCTCTGTAAAGTCAAGAGCGCACATGTCGTCCATCTTGCTCTTTAGAATAGATTGGAACTCCTCATATGAGAGCTCGTTATAGTGTATATCAATGCCATATGCTGCAAGGAGTCAGTGACCCCACGGTCTCGCTCCCGGTGTCTATAGCTAGTGTGAGCACTTACCAGATGTCATGGACTTGATCTTTTCTCCTTCTGAAATGGCCTCGGAGTAGAAGGCAATTTCCTTCTCGAGGCATTTATCGGGATGATCGAGGATATACTGGACCAACTTGCCGGTATCAGAGATGGCGACATTCGGAAGCGGAGTTGTCTCAGGCAGAACAAAGGATCTCAAATAAGTCCCGTCATCTTGCTAATTCCGATGTCAGCTCATCCATTGCTAAATTCATGCGACAAACGAACCTTGATAGGAAGATAAGTACGCGGCTGCGTGAGACAATTCTCAAAGTAATTCGGAAACAACACCGCAGTCGTCTTCTTCCACAGAGCAAGTTTCTCAGTTCGAATGTAATTTGTTACAGCTGCTTTGCTCTGCCAATGATAGACATGGGGATACTTCCCGTTCGAGATAGTCTTAGCGTCAGGCAAGCTCGCCCAGATGATTTGCTCGAGATGGGGTAGATCAGCGGCTATATCCATGATGCGTTTGCCTTGCTCTTCCTCTTTGGCAGCGGACATGTGCTGCCAAAAGTCGGTCATGGCGAAGATGACGTTGGCGCCTTCGAAGGCTTGTCGGAGACTTTCTGGATCATCAACGTCTGCTTGGTGTACTTCAATGCCAAGTCCCTTCAAGGCTTCGGCTTTGGGGGAAGAGACATTTCGGGTTAGACCGCGGATATTGTACCTTTCCTGAGATTTGGCAAGTGTCCGGACAACAGAGCCTCCCTAAGCAAAGAATAGGTTTAACCAAGATCCATCGTGAAATCGAATCGGTGATCATACCTGAAGGCCTGTCGCACCAATAATGACCACAGTCTTCTTGTCTTGGGTCATGGTGAGATGATTTTTAAGGTAGAAACTCAAGCCGGGTCTCTAGTGATAGATTCTGTGCTGGATAGATTCCAGGGAGAACCCGTGGGAGATGTGCCCTTTTATGTATCATCTTGGAAATATAAATGATTCCACAGGCAGTGGAGTTCTGTAACAACTCATCGGGTTCAGTTGGAACTTTGCGACATTGATGTCATAGACCTTCCAATTTCCCGCTTATTCAGCGCATTCGCGATGCTCGGTGTCCACAATTGGCGGACGCATGAGAATGCCATAGACTGGCAGATATCGGCAAGAATTATCACAAGACTTAATCACGTCATCAATTCACGTCAGACAAGTACTAAAATGTTCGTTATTATAGTGAATCGGTTCCTGCTGCAGAGTATCTCGGATCGGTAAAAGCGGTCCAGCCCGATTAGTGCCGATTTGTTCAACTGCCGGCTCGAAAAACCCGAGCCGCGACGGTAGCCAGAAATTTTCCTGGCTTATTAACACTACTTGATCCATCTTTTGAAGTGACAAGTAGATAAACATCAACGGCCAATTGCAATGCCCAAATCGACAAGAGGTCGAAAACCGCGTGCCTGCGACTCGTGTCGCAGGAAGAAGGTAAATTTTGCTCCGCTGCCGCTTCCTTGCTTGAGTACCTAGTGTTGCCGTCGCGTTACAACGCGCAGCGGTCGTTGGTTGTTGAATAGCTTGATCCCACACCAACACTCAAGCTTGTTACTATATTAATTGGCTAAGTCACTACTAGATTCAGTGTGATCGAGCTGTACCGCAGTGCGACTACTGCCAGCATCATGGCCTGACGTGTTCCTACAACGAAGCTGCAAAGACAGAGGGATCCGCACTTCGGTATACCGATGCCTCGACCATTGTGATGAGGCACTTTGAATTGACTCATTGCAACAGATCTCGGCTTTCAAGGTTTCCGAAATTCGCGCCACCGAGCCAGCCGCTCAGTTCGTTTGCACATAATGATGGGGAGCTCATTTACCGTTGTGAGAATCCTTACTGCCATATTACGCGACCCTTTAGCTGATACATGGGGTTTTCCTTTAGCGAGCGATGCTCATGATCGCAATCCAACTTATCTAGAGGGCTTACGGTTGGTGAATGGCAATACACTCTTTAGCCCACAAGGTCAACAATGGTACAGGAACAGCACAGGCTCAACCTTTTCGTCAAATATCATCGATAAGTATCGTCAACCTTACCTGTGTTCCACGAGGCCACCTCTTGCAAACGACAATCACAAGATTCTAAGACTTCCTGACCGCCAGGTTGTTGAGGAGCTGGCAGCGCGATTTTGTTTATCCGCGCAATCTCTCGTCTTCCCATTACTGAGTCTCCACCGCTTCAGGACTACAACCTTGCCTCTCGCTTATTCAGAAGGCGCCGGGAGGAAACACCATACAATCAGCGCGAAGTGTTGCACATATGGAGTACTGATTATGAGCGACATCTTTGGCCTTGACTCAGGCGACGAAATGGCTGACATTAGTTGCTGGTGCCAAAGATATGCGCTGGAAATCGAAGCTTCAATACCCACGCTCTTACGTGAGATGAGGGTTGATGGACTTGAATCGTTGCTGACGCTCGTAAGTTCCATTTATCCAATCTGATAAGTCGGCTTCTTACCTGCAACTCTAAAGATGATCTTTAAATACTTCATGGGAGATTTAGAATCCGCATCATTCCTCGTTTCGATGACCTCGCGCTTCTTGATCCAACTTGGAGCCCATCTATACCCTTCTTCTTCGGGCGCTTACGATAAACACAACGATTCTCACCATATACGCGACCTCTTCTGGGTCTGCTACTGCATTGACAAAGACCTGTCTCACCGAACTGGTCAGCCACCTACCATCAGCGACGATCACTGCGACCTCACGCTACCTCCCAACTACGTCCAGATGCAGAGTAGCAATATCCTAAGTTCCAGCCCATGTCCATGTCGCAGCTCCACTACGGTGCCGCTTTATCCATGGGATATTAGGCTATCGGTAATAAAGTCAAAGATCTACAACGACCTCCATTCGATAAGCGCCACTAGACTATCAGAGACCGAAATACTAAGAAAGATACGGCATCTGGATGAAGAGTTGGAGGCTTGGAGAGTGACTCTGCCATCTGACCATCGGCCGACGTTGTCGTTCCTGGAGCAGACACCTGTTGATGCTCATACCAATACGCAGGCAATTATGCTCCGACTGTCGTATCACCATTGCGTTATTCTCATTCATCAAGCCCGATGCAGAGACTTCCAATCAAGTCACCCCACTGATAACTTGATGGATGACGGCCATAGGATAAATTTCCAGATTCTAGTTGATGCATCAAGATCCATCTTGATCTACCTTGAAAAGGCATTACCTGTCCTGGCCCACGAGTGCTTCTGGTACGTATGACCCTCACACTATCTCAATAATCAAGTACAACAAGACTAACACGTTTTAGGGTCATCATTTTCTATCCCATGACGGCAATCTCGACCATCTTCTCCGTCGCGCTTCTTGACAGCCGGTCAGACCCAGGGAACGAAAGACTTAAGCTGCTGCAAGGCTTTGCGCGATTAATCAGGCAAATTCCCATCAAAAGGCTGACAGTCGCTGAGATATCTCACCTGGAATTCCTCGAGGAGGTCGTGGAGGAAATGAGCAGATTAGTGTTAGCTGCCGCTTGATTTGGAGTCTTTAGTCCTTACGCGCTGCCAAGTCACGAATTGGCTTAAACCAGCCTAAGGCTTACCGATCACAACACAAATAGCATTCAATACAAAAGTACCGATCGCCTCAAAACGCGCAGATTAATAAGACCAACGGCCTTAACAGTACCTCCGCATATTTAACCGCGTTAACTCCCAATCGCAGTTTAGGTTAAGCGGGGATGAATGCGAAAAATAAGCACGCCTGCAGATTCCGTCAGCAAAAAACGGAGAAATAGCATTGTCCGGTGAAAGACCGCTAAAGCCAGCGAATCAGAGATCTTGAATTTAGACCATACTTGATTGGGAAAGGGATCTCTGATTGGTCAGGATACTATCATCGTCGTGTTGGTAGAGGCTCTGTTGGATATATAAGACGGGAGATTCTCGTGCAGTGGATGAGATACTTACAGACCGGTTCATTACACAAAAACACTTATATCTCGATTAAATCTGAATTTCGAAACAGTTTCACAATGGAGTTTCCTAACCCTTCTCTCATCGGCGGCGCAGCTGACATCCCCGTCAATTCTGCCTCTCCCATCTTCACCTTCACACCAGTCACTCTCCCTTCTCAAGACCGCAGGGTCGATCTCGACCTCAAAGTCACAGCACCCATCAACGGAGACAACCTCCCTAATATTATCCTCTCCCACGGCCATGGCCCAAGCAACTATCTCTCCTCGCTCAAAGGCTACGGCCCTGTTGCGGATTGGTGGGCTAGCCATGGCTTTGTCGTCATTCAGCCTACGCACTTGAGCTCTCGACAACTCGGCTTCGAGTTGAATGCTGAGAGTATCAGCGAGCTCTTCATGGAGTCTCGAGCCAAGGATTTGGTTCAGATCGTTGATAGTCTCGACATCATTGAGACTACCGTTCCTCTCCTCAAGGGTCGACTTGACAAATCCAGGGTCGCTGTAGTTGGACATTCTCTCGGCTCTTTGTCCTCTGCTCTCCTCCTCGGCGCCGCCAACACCGATCCTCGCGATGGAAAAACCTTCAAGGTCGCTGATCCCCGCATCAAAGCCGGCGTCCTCTTCGGTGCCATCGGCGCAAGCGACGACCCCTCGGAACCCGGAAAAGCCATGCTTCCATTCCTCGATCTCAACTTCTCCGACATGAAGACTCCCTGTCTTGTGTTCTGGGGTGACAGTGATGTCAGTCCACATCTCACTAACCGAGGAGCAGACTGGCATAAAGATCCCTACAAGCTTTCGCCAGGACCTAAAGCTTCTTTCGAGGTAAAGGATGGAAAGCATGGGTTTGGCGGTATTAGTGGATGGGACGCTAAAGAGTGTCAGGATGAGGGTATGGAGAGGTTGGCTGCTATGCAGAGGGTTACGTGGGCTTACTTGAGGACTCAGTTGTATGGCGATGGTTCATGGGAGGAGGCGAAGAAGGCTATTGGGCAGAATCCCCAAATTGGAAAGATTGAGGAGAAGTAGTCGACCTAGAAACCTTTGGACTTCTAGTTAAGGATAGTTGCTTGCATAAATGTGTTTCATGTCTACACGTTTGCATTGACACTTTCTCAACCACGTACGTTGCTAGGAAAAATACGAACGCAATCACTGACTACATTAGCCAAGGTCCTAGTACATAAACAAACTAAGAAACACTATCTCTTCTCATTCATAGTTCCCTTAAATTCCTACGCACAGTTCCCTTCGTTCGGGTCAGCCCTAATATTTTGTCAGTATACTCAAATTATTGCTCGTAGAACAACAAAACTCACGAGACAGTAAGAGCACCAGTGCCTCCCTCAGTGCCCGGGTAGGAACTCCTTCCTCCATGGTCACATCCATTGATCTCGCGGTGGAAGTACTCAGTGCACAAGTTCTTCTCAACAGCATGTGCAGGCCCATCGGCAGGGATATCTGAGTCATAGCGGAGGAAGAAGTCCATCTTCTTATTGCTGCTCAAATTGACACACTTATTGATGTACTGGCCGGCGGTGGAGAAGGGGCCGTTGATGATTCCATCGCAGTACTTCTGGGCAGTCTGGAGGGCAAGGAATTTCTCTGCGCCCCAGGATTCACCTGATCCATGGCATTCGCGCTTTTGGAGGCTGCTTGGGAATGCAATGGCAGATGTTGCCCCGACAGCAATGAGAAATGGTGTAAGCTTCATGGTGGGAGATATAATAATGATGGGTTGTAAAGGAATCTGTTTGATAATAAGTTATGTGTGAATAACAATATCTGTAAAGGTTTCCTTGGAGCTTTTATAGGCAGTGTCCTGTCAGTTGTGTAATTTAAATCTGCCTTGTTAATACAGCCCCCATCTCATGACGTACATAGCTATTCCTACTACTCATCATGAAGCATGAGGATCAAAATCCTCGTGTCGTATACGAGAAGATCTGCATCTACGAGCTGAAGCGGGAATTCAGGTTTACCTGCTCAATCAAGCTAAAGGTCAGTGAGCACTAGGAGAAACTTAAATCTAGCTGACCTTATTGGCTGCGCAGACTAACAGGCACGGGCCGCGGAAGCTTAGCCATAGCCCCATCAAAGGATCTCATCGACAGAGCATAACTACGTAGACTTCTAACGTTGCATGTGGCTTGGTTTCGCAAGAACGGATTCCGATGCGATTGAACAGAGACATACTGCAGTAATCTGCACCGTGGACCGGATAACATTGTCCTCGTTGATCGCTTGAGGCTTTGCATTCGCTGGGGGCCAAACTATGTACGCAATTAGAAAAAACAGGTTTTTAATGATCCTACTAGTAAATTTTTCGTTCAATGAGGCAATAAATTTCTTGCGACGTCAGTTTATGGTAGTAATGTATAATTATCGCCGTCTAGAAGCTCGCCAGCTTGGCTATAAATGAGAGAACCCCCATTTGTTAACCGGAACACTACTAAGCTATTCCCAACATAAATCCAACGTCAAGCCTATTCCATTCCTCTCCTGACTTTTCTATCTTCCGTCGCCCTTCACAAGCCAACATCCATCTACCTAATCCAACAATGCACTACCCATCATTCCTCCTGGCCGCTCTCCTAGCCGCCATCCCTAGGGCCAGTGGAGAATGCCACCGCTCTGGAGAAACATGGGGCGGAGACAAATTCACTGCCCTAGAAGCAGCTCAGCGCCTATGCACAGACGGCAGCTTGGCCGAGACTGACTATAGGTATGGAGAGTTCAAAACCTTCTGCGTCAATCTGAGCACCTTGAAGAAGGTAGACTTTACTGTCCTGGTCGGAAGAAACGTGATTGGGGATGGCTTGCGTATTTCCTCGGCTGATTGCACCGATCGACTCCACAGGGAGATCAATGGCTGCGATCATGGGGGCAGATCTTCGTATGAACAAGGAACAGGCCCTGAAGGAACCAATATTGTCTGGGATTTCTCGTAAGTTTCTATGTTGTACATACCTCCTGGGGATCTGATTTGCTAATCATTGAATAGTGCTGATCCCGGCTCGGGCCAGTGTGCTTAAATTCCAGATTTTATTCCTTATAACTACTGTTTTGCTTTAGGAGAGTGTGGTTAAGATGTTGAAGGCGGTAGCTGCTTTCCGTGAATGAGATCACCCGAAAATAGCAATACTTATTCACTCAGCACAAGATCATATCTTCTATATACTATCCATTTAGAGTGAAAAGGCTCGACATGTGATTTATTGCTATAAGTGTCTATATTAGTTGGTAAATATGTCTCTTTGTCCTGGAGCAAGATTACGGATCCAGTCAGAGTGTACGGCTTGCCTCTTGTTTCGCAGGACAAGACCATCATGTGATTGAACTCACCACGTACATTGTTCTGGACCACGCCGCAATATTACTTTCTTTTCTTGAGCCATACTTTTCATGTCACAGATGTATCTCTCGTTTTTCCCCCCACGGCATAAATGCTCTCCCGCACGAATGAAACTGTGCCCAAGCAGATGCTTGTCTCCTAAACGAGTGATTTAGACCCCAACCATTGTGATAGCTAACTCGCGGCTGAGCTCCAGCTCAGAACAATATGCGATTCCTGTATGAGCTGTCTTGGACTGGTCACGAGTACAGTTCCTTGCATCTTCCAGAGGAATTGGCTGCGCCTGGTGGATCCAGAGGGCGCAGCGAATGGTCTTGGGGGTCAAGATGGTAAATAAGGTGGGTAAGTCAGCCAAAGAATAGTCTGAGAGGCATCTTTATTTCTCCAATTTCATGGAGACGTCGGGAGGGCCTCTATCTGCAAAATGACGCAACATCATTCACATCACCACCATACAGACCATTCTTCAGCGCTCGCCGGGCCTGAAACGGAGCAGCGGCCAGCCACTATCAAAATATTGATGCCTCAGTATTGGCTGAACTTTATTTTGCTGTCGTCGTTTTTGTGCCCAGGTCTTGATCATTCGAGGGCATTGATGCTTTCTACCGAACATAACATGGCCAACAGAATCGAGCATAGTGCCAGAACAAATAATCTATTCGCTAATGTGCCAGGCTCCGCCAAGGACTGAAGTCTGCCACTGCGAAGCAAAGCTTGCCACTGTCATTGTTCTCCTCGGCCAAAAGGTGCCAATGACAGTATGTTCCGGCAGCACCTATTTGGCAAGCCATATCTCAAACTTAGACACTTATCCAAACCTGAACCGCAACGGAACCTCAATCTTACCATAAAAAGAGTGTTGGTCGAAACCAGAATCACGATAAGCAACAACTCACAGGTAAACACAGCAAACTCTCGACATAACCATCATGAATGATGCACAGTCTCGTATTATATCCCTCGAGGGAGAAGTAGCCGAACTGCGACAACTTGTCTCATCTCTCTCACTCCAGATCTCGAACCGAGATGGCGCCCAGGATGCGTCCAAGGCACTCTCTGCTGACACACATACCAACAGCAAGGCTGTAAGCACTCCACCACCTTCAAAGCTATCTCTATTCTACGGCAGAGGAGATATGCGATCCTACCTCTCGACCCCCGATCCCAGATTTGGAGAGGACGCATGGCTCCACGATAAGCCTCCCGGC